TAATAGCTATAATTGTTATGGCAATTGAGCCCTCATCAATGTTTTTTATGAAATAATGCATATAATTAATTTCATAGTTATTAAATCTAAGTAAATCCATGAATCAAAGCTAAGTCGAGTTGAGTTTTATTTCATTATTGACTTAATTAAATTCAATTAACTTAATTCAATCAACATCAAGAAATATTTTTAAAAAAACATAAACAAATTTCTTTTAATTAAAAAAATCACTGACCCAATGATCCCTGAATTAACCTAATAACTTAATAACAAGAATCCTTTTTGGAATCAGACATAGGGCCATGTCTGTTTTGAAAAAAAAACCTTGTGTCGACAAGATCTCCCAACTCGTCCAAGTAAAGCATTCTATCGTGCAGTTTTAGGATAAGCATCGCTTATTTAATATTTTATGCAAACAGTAACTGGAAACATGGTTCTAATTAACTCCATATGCTAAAGTAGAATCAAATCTCCTATACTTTTCATTTTCAAGATCTGAAGAGTGAAGAGTAGGAAAAGGGTTTACTTGTTTAGTTCACTGGATTAACTGTAGATAATGTTAATTAGGAGTCTTTTGTCATGTGTACAGCTTGTGATTAGGCCCTGTCCTTTCTTAATCAATTTATAATCTAAATATATTGTTAGCACAGAGTTGACTAAGCTACTAAGATGCTCCAGAGAGAAGGGACACCATTAGTCATTGTAGGAATTTTAATTACTAGCAGCCGAGGACATAGGAGACACGTCTGTCTCTCAGTCTCTTAATGAGCTGGCCGACTTCTCTTTCTCCCAATTGCGTTGAAGAATTCATAAGATGTTGCTGCTCTCCTTCAATCATGCTCCCACGCATCAAAAAAGAAAGAGAGAAAAATGTCAACCTCCAGCTTTCATGTTTTCTGCCTGCTAAGGTTGTCAGGCACGTCCACACAACTGGAAAGGTGTACTTTCCTGCATAGTTTACACTAGTTTAATAATACCATTACCACGATTGTAAGGAGAAAAGGAGTCGAACTTACAAAGATCTTTTGCATTGTCTTGTAGGAGCTCGATCCATTCTCTATTAGCCCCTTGTATCTTCTAGTTTAGCCCGTTCAATAACAACTTATCAATGAGCTCTGCTTATTTGTCTGGATGTGGTTTCTAGAATTAGAAAGACTATCATAGTTGTTCAAATTCATCTTTATAACGATTAAGTCTTTGGGAAGGAGTGTGTTGAGCACATTTTGGCTTAATGGAGAGTCTCTGATATGTCATGCGATATTTGTGCCACTTGTATCTTCTTCCCCGCATGCTTTTTTAGGCTTCGGGCTACTGAAATAAGATTTTGATGGAGAACAGATTGTTGTCGAGAGGTATGAACAATAGCCTTGCCTAATGATCCGCGGCGGTCTTGATCTGGTGACCCTGTATAAGAGTGGTCCTTACGATAACGAGATTTGCTTTTAGAAACAGTGGCAGTGTTATGCCTACTTGCATCCATTTTGTTTATCCTAGTTTCTTATATGAAATGGAGGTGCTGATGCACAGGAGGTAGTGGAGGAACATGTTGTCGAAGAATTGATGGTAGATGGACATGAAAAGCTTTGATTTGTTCGGTAGCCAAAATAGCTTCCATAAGTGCTCTCATTTGCTGAGCAAGTTGCTGAAAGTCGATTGAAGTTGCTGATGGTGGAAGGTCTGTAACTCTTCCACCTGACATTTCCGTGTTGTCGCCTATTAAGAACGAGCGACAGCCAGGGTTGAAAAAATTGTCTTTAATTAAAAAAAAAAAAAACACTTATTACATAAAGAGGTAACATTGGGCGTAACAATTATTTATAACCCATCATGTGGAAAGATTCTTATAAAATAATAATAAATTAGTTTCAGAAAAATACTTAATTGGTTAAGTAAAATGTCCAATAAAATCAATTGAATTAAATTTATTGAATTGCGTGATGGATTATATGGCGAAGTAACCGACAAATAATTTTATAAAATTGTGTGAAAATATTAGCAGCAGCTGTGCTCGCCTGAGCCTCATCCAGTTGAGCAGCATGTGGGCCTTTAGCCCTTTTTTGCCCCACCAACAATAGGCTAAGAATTTGGTTCCTTGTTAACAAGGTCACAAGATGTCTCCCATTGGCCAGTAAGATATGATAGGCTATTGATTGTCTGCTGCTGTGTGCGGCTGGAAAAAAAAAAAATATATATATATATATATATATATATACACACATTTTTTTTATGCTAATTGATAGATTTTTTTTTTTTATTCGGATGATCAAGAGTATCTTTAAATTGGTTTATGCATCAATTAAAAAATATATATATTTATAGTATCCAAAAAGCCAAATTAGACTTTTCTAAATAAAACTTCCTATGGTTGGTAATTTATGGCTAAATAAAATGTTTGAAATTGAAAATTATCATAAAAAACAAGTAAAAACAAATCAAAGATGAGACCCTCTGATTTACTACAGTAAATTCAAATAAAAAATATTATTTCAAAAATACCCTTCTTTTTTTTCTCTCATAACCTTACAACCATTGTTTACCATTGCTTCTTTTTTTAAAAAAAAAAAGTATGGGGAAATAGGTA